CGCGACCTGCTCGTCCGCCGCCCGCACCCCCCCACCCACAAAGCAGACAGCGGTTGGCCATTCACTTTCTAGCGCCCTGGGGCCAGAGAGTCCCAGGTTCGAATCCCGCCCCGCGCTGAGCCCCTGCTGGGGGCCCAGGACAGGTCTCCTAAAATCGCTGTGTGCCTCAGTTTCCCGTCCTGGACGTGAGCCCGGAGCCCCCGCCGCGTATCGTGCCTGGGGAGCCCACAGAGTAGACGGGCCAGCTTGGCCAGGTGCCCCAGACCTCGGTCTGGGGGAAGAGGGGAAGAGGGGCACCGCCACAGCTGTCGCCGCCCCGCCCCGCCCAATCGGCGCCAAAGTTTAAAAATTGCCAACGCCTCCCAGACTGAGCGCGGGGAACCGGAGCCCGGGCCCCACCCACGGGAAGCGCGGGGCTTCCTGGGACTTGGAGTCCAGGCACCGGGGGTCTCGCGGTTAGGGGGGGTTGCTCCGGGCACCCCAAGAACCTGCCCAGCGCTGAGAGGTCAAGGCCCGGGGTAGGGGCCAGACACTCCATTTAACCGAGGGGACAGGAGGGGGACAGCGAGGAGGGGGGCAGCCAGGAGGGGGACAGCGCAGGTGAAGACCCCCGAGGCCGATGGGACATCTAAGTGCCAAGAGGGGCTAGCGTGGCGGGCGGCGAGTGACACCCTGCAGAGCCTCGAAATGTAGCCGAGTGGGGACCGGGTGGGCATGTGGGGTGCGGGGAGGGAGGCGGTGGTCAGCTGGAGCTTTGATGGGGGGTGGGTTGCGGCAAAATCAAGGGGTGGGGATTAGGAAAGGTGACCCCACGCCACCCCCAAACTCCAACTATTTTTCTCCCCTTTCGCCCCGCCTCCTGTGGTATCACTCATTCATGTTTTGATGTAAATGCCCCATGTTTTACCTACAGTCTTAAATATTTTGTATTTCTACCCGTAGTAGGGGAAACAAGCGCTGCGGGGCCCACAACACGGGTCTAGCCAGGGACTCGCCGCCTGGGGCCTAGGGTGAGGCCGCTACTCCTGTTCAACTGGAATCATCAGGAGCCTCGGCTGACAGGAGTGGGTGGTGAGCACCCTTCCCTGGCTGCATTGGCTGGGGCTCCTGGGGGCTGTCCGAGCCAGTTCCCCACCTGCCATATGGAGGCGGAGGGGTCCCCTGGGCAGAAAGAACCCCTGGCAAATTGCATGGTGACAGGAAAGAAGTAGTACTCACCTGGGGGCAATTTGCCCCTCGCAGGTGACATGGTGCAATGTCTGGGGACATGTTTGGTTGGGGGGCAGAGCAGGGATGCAGCTTCACATCCTATAGGAACAGAACGTCTCACCACCGCAGAGAGGGGTGGGCCCGGACGCCCACGCTTCAGGGGTTTGCTTCTTCCGGATATTTTACGTAAGGGGAGCGATGTAGTGTGCGGCCTTGTGTCTGGCCTTTTTCACTCGGCACGTTTTTAAACTGAGGTATATAACACATCACATTCGTTTCAGGTGTATGACCTAATGATTCGCTATTTGTCTAGTTAACATCCATGCATAGTTACATTTTTTTCCTTGTGACACAGAGAACTTTTAAGATCTACTGGCTTAGCGACTTTCAATATATAATTCTGTACATCGCATCCCCAGGACTTGTTTAGGACAGGAAGTTTGTACTTTTTGACACCCTTCGCCCATTTCCTAACCCCCGCCCCCCCGCGGGTTTTTGTATCTATGAACTCCTTTTGTTGTTTTAGATCCGACATGTTTATAAAGGTCCTTCACCACTTTTAATTTTAATGAGACTCCAAAGAAGTAGGTAGGTGATACGAGTGGGGAAACTGAGGCACTGGATGGAAATCCAGTGTCGCATCGTGGCCGAGCTGGGATTGTGAAGCCCGGCGGTTTAGCTCTGGGCCCCCCGCGCTCTCTGCCAGCTGTAATAGTGAATGACACGGCGGGAAACGGGGCGGGAGT